ACAGTTCAAAAAAGCTGTGACAGATGCCATCATGTCTCGCCGAGCCATCCGCAACATGAACACCCTGTAAGTAGGCTTGTCATGGCTGCTGTCCCAAGCTGTGTCCTGGGTCCCTCTGCTTCCAGCTCTGGATCTGATACAGCCCGTCATCCTAACCAGGTATCCAGATGCCACCCCAGAGGAGCTCCAGGCAATGGACAATGTCTGCATCATCTGCCGAGAAGAGATGGTGACTGGTGCCAAGAGACTGCCTTGCAACCACATTTTCCATACCAGGTGGGAGGGGCCCTGGGGAGCCTACACAGCGGGGCACAGGCCCCAGAAGGCAGGCCCCTAGGGACCTGCTGACCTCTGCCTGGCCTTGACCCGCAGCTGCCTGCGCTCCTGGTTCCAGCGACAGCAGACCTGCCCCACCTGCCGTATGGATGTCCTTCGGGCATCGCTGCCAGCCCAGTCACCACCACCCCCGGAGCCTGCGGATCAGGGGCCACCCCCTGCGCCCCACCCCCCACCACTCTTGCCTCAGCCCCCCAACTGTGAGTGTCCCCTTGTCTGACCACCCAGCACACCACTGGGTACTTGCCCTGGACTGGGTATGGAAGATGCTGGGAAATTGGAGAGTCCCTGCCCTCCAGAATCTCAGTCTGGGCCAGGAAGGGATGGAAAGATGAGAAATAGATGCTTGCAGTCAGTGTGACCAGTGCTGGGCTCAGGGCCTGTGGGAATAGGACAGAGCTTGCAATAGTCAGGCCCCCTGCCTGGGAGTTGGGTCTGTGTCCATTTGGCCCTTTTCTTACCTCCCTGTCTTCTCTCTGCAGTCCCCCAGGGCCTCCTGCCTCCTTTTCCTCCAGGCATGTTCCCACTGTGGCCCCCCATGGGCCCCTTTCCACCTGTCCCGCCTCCCCCCAGCTCAGGAGAGGCTGTGGCCCCTCCATCCACCAGTGCAGGTAAGTCTTTGGGTACTGTGACAGCCAGGGGGTGGCAGGGATGGAACACTCACTGACTTCTTGTTCCTGCTCTTCAGCAGCCCTTTCTCGGCCCAGTGGAGCAGCTACAACCACAGCTGCTGGCACCAGTGCTGCTGCTGCTTCTGCCACAGCATCTGGCCCAGGCTCTGGCTCTGCCCCAGAAGCTGGCCCTGCCCCTGGCTTCCCCTTCCCTCCTCCCTGGATGGGTATGCCCCTGCCTCCGCCCTTTGGTAAGCTGGGCCACTCTGGGTTCTTCTGGGGGGTGAGGTTGGTGTCTGGCCCCAGCAGCCCAGACTGAGCCTTTCTCTCTCTCTCCAGCCTTCCCCCCGATGCCTGTGCCCCCTGCGGGGTTTGCTGGGCTGACCCCAGAGGAGCTACGAGCTCTGGAGGGCCATGAACGGCAGCACCTGGAGGCCCGGCTGCAGAGCCTGCGTAATATCCACACACTGCTGGACGCCGCCATGCTACAGATCAACCAGTACCTCACTGTGCTGGCCTCCTTGGGGTGTGTCTGTACAGGGGAAGCAGAGTGGGTTTGGTGGGTCAGGAGTGGAGCTGCCAGGAGGTCCCCAGCAGTGGTTCTTGGCCTTTGATACCTGCCAATTCAGGCTACCTATCTACAGGTCCATCCAGATTCTCCAGGAGTTCTTGGTAACTCCTGGTGCCTGTCTATCCTCCCACTCCAGAAAGCACGTCTGGATCTAACTAGGAGTGATGTTTATTCGAGAGCTGACTTTGGATCTTACTTCTTTTTATTTCTCTAAAGTCAAATTATTCAGAATTTGCAGTGCTTTAGTTCATCACATGATATTCTCCTGAGATGTAGTGACACTTAGATTGACAACTGCTGCCCCCAAACTGAGGGAGCAAATAATAGGAAGTCACTTGGAGCCATCCTGGCCCAAGTTCAAGCGCTGGTCCCATCACTCGTTTTTGACCTCTTAACGTTATTTGAATAAAGGGGTCTTAATTCATATTCGTAAGTGATGTCTACTGCCGATGCGGTGGCTCACACCTGTAATCTCAGCACTTTGGGAGGCTGAGGCAGGACTGTTTGAGCCTAGGAGTTTAAGGGTGCGGTGAGCTATGATTGTGCCACTAAATTCCAGCTTTGGTGATGGAGCCAAGACCCTGTCTTTTAAAAAAGTGACATGTACATAATGCCTGGCATCTAGCAGTGACAGCACAGGCTTGGAGAGGAACTTGAGTCCAAGGCTTGAGCACTGTGGCTTATTCAGTGGGTCCCCTATAAGGTGCCTGACTCCCCAGGGTGGAGACTGCAGGGTAAGAGTGAACAGGTCAACAGTCCCTGCCTGCAAGCACCTTATAGCTAAGGGATAGAATCACTTGGCCCTTGAGTCAAGTCACCCTGTCTGAGTTCATTCAGCATGTTCACTTGTGTTTGCCAGGCACTGGGGCCACAAGGGCACATCATTCTATACTCTGTTCTGCAAGGCTCACCAAGGGCAGGAGAATCTGCCCAACCTAGGATGCCAAGGCCAGACCCGCCTCTCGTCCCTTCTCTTCCCAGGCCCCCTCGGCCTGCCACTTCAGTCAGCTCCCCTGAGGAGACTGCCACTACAGTTATTGCTGCTGCCTCCTCCACCAGCATCCCCAGCTCAGAGGCCACGACCCCAACCACAGGAGCCTCCCCAACAGCCCCTGAAACGGAAAGGCCTCCAGGTAGGTGTGATTGGCCTCCAGCCGGGGGAGCAGGGAACTTCTCTAGGTTCCACTTCCAGTCTCTCTGTCCTCAGCTCCTGAGTCAGTGGGCACAGAGGAGATGCCCGAGGATGGAGAGCCTGATGCAGCAGAGCTCCGCCGGCGCCGCCTGCAAAAGCTGGAGTCTCCTGTTGCCCACTGACACTGCCCCAGCCCAGCCCCAGCCCCTGCTCTTTTGAGCAGCCCTCGCTGGAACACATCCTGCCACCAAGTGCCAGCTCCCTCTCTGTCTGCAGCAGGGAGTAGTACCCCCAGCTCTGAGAAAGAGGCGGCATCCCCTAGGCCAAGTGGAAAGAGGCTGGGGTTCCCATTTGACTCCAGCCCTCAGAGTCCCAGGCAGCTATGGGGATCTCGGGTCAGTTCCAGCCTTCCTCTCCAACTCTTCAGCCCTGTGTTCTGCTGGGGCCATGAAGGCAGAAGGTTGAGCCTCTGAGAAGCCCTCTTCTTCCCCTACCCCTTTCTGGGAGAAGGGGCAGCCCCTCTGAGCCCTACTTGTATGTGTGGAGTCACACTGCAGTGCCGAACAGTATTAGCTCCCGTTCCCAAGTGTGGACTCCAGAGGGGCTGGAGGCAAGCTATGAACTTGCTCCCTGGCCCACCCCTAAGACTGGTACCCATTTCCTTTTCTTCCCCTGATCTCCCCAGAAGCCTCTTGTGGTGGTGGCTGTGCCCCCTATGCCCTGTGGCATTTCTGCGTCTTACTGGCAACCACACAACTCAGGGAAAGGAATGCCTGGGAGTGGGGGGGGCAGGCGGGCAGCACTGAGGGACCCTGCCCCGCCCCTCCCCCCAGGCCCCTTTCCCCTGCAGCTTCTCAGGTGAGACTGACCTGTCTCACCCAGCAGCCACTGCCCAGCCGCACTCCAGGCAAGGGCCAGTGTGCCTGCTCCTGACCACTGCAATCCCAGCGCCCAAGGAAGGCCACTTCTCAACTGGCAGAACTTCTGGAGTTTAGAATTGGAATTACTTCCTTACTAGTGTCTTTTGGCTTAAATTTTGTCTTTTGAAGTTGAATGCTTAATCCCGGGAAAGACGAAGGTCTTTCCAGTTTAGAAAAGGCTCTGTACCAAGGAGGAACCACAGGAGCTGGGACCTGCCTGCCCCTGTCTTTTCCCCTTGGTTTTGTGTTACAAGAGTTGTTGGAGACAGTTTCAGATGATTATTTAATTTGTAAATATTGTACAAATTTTAATAGCTTAAATTGTATATACAGCCAAATAAAAACTTGCATTAACAGTTGGTGGGGTTTGTCTCATGGAATCAATAAAATCAGTGTCAGGCTCCTTGCTGTGGCTGTACACTTGAGAATGGAATGGAATCTCCAGGAGTTAGGGTTTCCATGGAAGCCAGCACTATCCTTGGGGACACCATTGACCATTAACAGATTAGGAAGATGTGCCCATTTTACACATGGAAAAGCAGCCCAGAGTTCAGTGCCCTGCCTCAGGGCAGAGACCAAGTTGGGGAGCCAGGAACTGGGAGCTGTCTTAGCCAGTTTGGGGGTAGGGTGGGGTCTCAGGCCTTTGGCCCCTGTGACTCCAATGAAGGCTAGTGAGCTGGGGTTGGGATGAGATGGCAGGGTGAAAGGTCAGCGTATTCCTGCCTGCAAACCCCTCCCCAGCCTTGATTCCAGGTCAGCAGGCTGGGGAGGATGGCCCTATGCTGGCTGTGAGGAGTTCCAGCCACTCCCTTGTGATCAAGCCAGCAAGTCTGGTCTGCAATGGAACAGTGACCAAGAATGGGCCTCCTACCTCTCTAGGAGAAACAGCCCAGGGCTAACGTGGGCACTGTACTTTGAACAGAAGATCTCCAAGCCCCATGCCCGAGTCATCTGTGTTCATAGCCTGTACCAAACAAGATCTGGCCTAGAGCAAGGGCTTGGGGATGTTTGCAACAATGAGCTTTGGAGGGCCAAGGGAACAAAGTGACCAGTGGCTCTGCCCTGTGCTACCTTCCCCTAAACTAGGTTGGGCTACTGCTTCCACCAAATAGCAACTAGAATTTGAATTGCTGAGCCCAAGGAAAGGAAAACAAAACAGGCCAAGGTGGGCAGGGCACATGGCTCACGCCTATAATCCCAGCACTTTGGGAGGCCGAGGTGGGCGGATCACTTGGAGTCAGGAGTTTGAGCCCAGCCTGGCCAACATGGTGAAACCTCATCTTTACTAAAAATACAAAAATTAGCAGGTTGTGGTGGCGGGTGCCTGTAATCCCAGCTACTCAGGAGGCTGAGGCAGGAGAATTGCTTGAACCCAGAGGTGGAAGTTGCAGTGAACCAAGATCATGCCACTGCACTCCATCCTGGGCAACAGAGTGAGACTCCATCTCAAAAAACAAAAAACAACAGGCCAAGATAGGAGGGAGAGAAAGCTGCTGACACCCCCCATTAGCCTGGTTATTCCTATTTGGTCTCTCACATTAGGCACTCTCCCCCAGCATGTACATAGGGTCCGGTTTTCTCCTTTATGCAAGCAAGGCCTGACCCCAAAGTCCTTTAGCCTTAGTTTCTGTATCCCCTGTCTCAGGGGCTCCAACACCCACCTCCCTCCTCCTGAGGCCCCCTAGACTTGATCCGCAGGGCAGGCTGACATGCAGGCTGCTCAGCTAGGCCTCAGAAGCCTTTCTCCAAGAGCCAGGCTTTAAGCTCCTGCTCAAAGTAGCCCTTGATTCGCAGAGTACCTGTCACCTCATTGACCTGGGTGACGGGTGTCTTCCCCAGCAGCGGGCTCAGAAAATCTTCCACATCTTTCTGCAGGGCCTAGGGAAAGATGACAAATCAGGTCAGGCCAAGAGTCCCTTCCCTTGAAAGGACTCCTGTCCCTCCAGCCCTGAAAGGGTCAGGCCCAGCCCCAGACCCACCCACCTACTTACCCAGATGTCCCCTTCTACTTTCCGGATCACAGTCATCTGCCGGTTGCCATGCGTGATGTCCTTGTAGACAGGGACATTGTGCATCCGAGAGCGTCGTACAAAGTAGGGCAGGTTGGGTGGGGGGTCTGCGACAAGGAAAGACACTGTTAAATCAACTCTTCCTAGGTGCCATCCCACCTCAGCCAAGGTCCTTGCTCTCAGTCTGCAGAGGGCAAATGCACCCAGCTGGACCAAGCCACCTCCAGACTTTAGGTCAGGGGGTCTCCTCTTTCCTTCAGCTTGGAGTCAGGACCAAATTGTTCACCCTGGTACCCTAAGGCCCCACACAAGGCCTGTCACTAAGTAGGTACTCAAGAAAACATGAAGTCAGGGACATGCCTCCCTGGATCTTTGGGTCCCCCTCTAGGCCAATCCTTGCCCTCCTCCACTGGGTCAGGGAGGCTGAAAGCAATCTCTGGAACAAAGAGATTGGAATTTACAAGCACTGAGCACCTACCATATGCTGGGCTCTGCACTAAGGGCTCTAGGTACTGAGCAGATCATCTCCATTTTGCTAAAACAGGTTGGGTCAAGCTAAGTGACTAATTCAAGATAGTATCAACAGTAAATAAAGCCAAATTCAAATCCAGAACTGCCTGACTCCATGCTGTGTTATTAATTATAGACATAGTCTCCTGGGGGGAAAGAAGGTCCAAGCTCTTGGGTTTTCTCTCTGTTGTTTACTTTCCCCCATATGGGGAAGACCCAATCCCAATAGTGTGGATGGATGAGTACCAGTGAACAACAGAGGACTCCATTCCTGGGCTCTTCCTCAGGCATGAGACAGATGTAACCCACAGGGATCGCAAAACAAGTCCTGAACCCACTGAAGAGTCCAGAGCCTCATGGGGGAGGCCAACCTCTGGGGAAGAGGTGATGCTCCGTGAAGTTTTCAAATCATCCCTAACCACCCAGCTCACCTCTGGGAGGCTGCCAGCCACTAGGGGTAGGATAATGTTCATGTTTTGGGGGATCTGGGATCCTCGTAGCTGGTAACAGGCGCTCCACAAACTGATATTCATCCACAGACTCCACAAAGCTGGGGTAATCTGGAGGGCCCTGGGTCTGGCTCTGAAGCAAAACAAAAATTCCATTTCTCCATTAGCCTACACAACACAGGATGGCATAAGTTCAGTAAGTAGAGAATGGAAACATTACAGGCAGAGAGAATGGCATGAATAAAAGGCTGGGCGATCGGTGTGAAAGCTATCAGAATCAAAATGGAGTGAGTCACTTGGGTTAAAAATCCCAACAAACAAAGCTAGGGAGGGCCATGAAGAGAGAGTTCTTGGCCGGGCGTGGTGGCTCATGCCTGTAATCCCAGCTCTCAGGGAGGCAGAGGTGGGAGGATGGCTTGAGCCCAGGAGTTCGAGACCTGCCTGGGTAATATAGCGAGACCCCGTTCTCCACAAAAAGGAAAAAAAAAAAAAAAAGACAAAAAAAAAAAAAAAGAGTTCTTGTGCACAAATACTTAATAACAAGAACTATCACAAAAGACTGCAAAAACCACAGACTTGCACAAAGGCCACTGCAACCTTACACAAAAAAGTATTTCTGGCTGGGCACGGTGGCTCACGTCTGTAATCCCAGCACTTTGGGAGGCCGAGGCAGGTGGATCACCTGAAGTCAGGAGTTCAACACCAGCCTGGCCAACATGGCGAAACCCCATCTCTACTAAAAATACAAAAATTGGCCGGGCGCGGTGGCTCAAGCCTGTAATCCCAGCACTTTGGGAGGCCGAGGCGGGTGGATCACGAGGTCAGGAGATCGAGACCATCCTGGCTAACACAGTGAAACCCCGTCTCTACTAAAAATACAAAAAAAAAAATTAGCCGGGCGTGGTAGCGGGCGCCTGTAGTCCCAGCTACTTGGGAGGCTGAGTCGGGAGAATGGCGTGAACCCAGGGGGCGGAGCTTGCAGTGAGCTGAGATCGCGCCACTGCACTCCAGCCTGGGAGATACAGCGAGACTCCGTCTCAAAAAAAAAAAAACAAAAAAAAAAAAAAAAAAAAAAAAAAAATTAGCCAGGTATGGTAGTGCATGCCTGTAATCCCAGCTACTTGGGAGGCTGAGGCAGGAGAATTGCTTGAACACAGGGGGCAGCGGTTGCAGTGAACTGGTATCATGCTACTGCACTGCAGCCTGGGTGACAGAGCAACAAGACTCTCTCAAAAAACAAAAATAAACAAACAAAAATTTCTGCAAGGCCATCTGTCCAACAACTGCCTGTCCAATCTTGAACTGGCACCACCCTTGTTATTCATCCTTGTAGCCAAGGATAACTATCTCAATACAATTATGTAATATTCTTTTTTCCTTTCCTTTATTTTTTTTTGGGGGGGGACGGAGTCTCACTCTGTCACCTAGGCTGGAGTGCAGTGGCGTGATCTCGGCTCACTGCAACCTCCGCCTCCCAAGTTCAAGTTAAGTCTCCTGCCTCAGCCTCCCAAGTAGCTGGGACTACAGGCACACGCCATCACACCCGGCTAATTTTTGTATTTTTTGTAGAGACGGGTTTCACCATGTTGGCCAGGCTAGTCTCAAACTCCTGACTCCAGGTGATCTACCCGCCTTGGCCTCCCAAAGTGCTGGGATTACAGGCGTGAGCCACCGTGCCTGGCCCATTTTTCCGTTAAAAACCTTTGTCTTCTTTTACCTCCCTGATAAGCACATAGTATACACCCATTTCCGAATAAATATCATTTTCTTTTAGAGTCCGTTATTTAAGTTGACATAAGATAGCACCAGTCTTTGGTTTTCCATGGTGCAGGGTACAGACGGGATGGAAAGGAGGCTCATATACTCTGAATGGTCTACCTCTCTTAGGATTTCGGTGGGATTCAAAAGAGTATGTGTAGACTTCTGAAAAGTCAATCAAGTCTTTAGAAACTTAAGGCTTAACTTTCTGCCTCGGTTTTAGGAATAGATATTATTATTACATTGGCAGCGTAACCTTGTTTGTACCTTCATGATTGCCTGGCTGGCCTTGCTCACCTAATCACATCTGTGATTGGATATAGTGGTGTTTAATCTTATGATTGCCTTAACAATTAAGGCAATCAGCCGGGCGCGGTGGCTCACGCCTGTAATCCCAGCACTTCGGGAGGCCGAGGCGGGCGGATCGCGAGGTCAGGAGATCGAGACCATCCTGGCTAACACGGTGAAACCCATCTCTACTAAAAATACAAAAAAATTAGCCTAGCGTGGTGGCGGGCGCCTGTAGTCCCAGCTACTCAGGAGGTTGAGGCAGGAGGATGGCGTGAACCCGGGAGGCGGAGCTGGCAGTAAGCCGAGATCGCGCCACTGCACTCCAGCCTGCGCAACAGAACGAGACTCTGTCTCAAAAAAAAAAAAAGAAAAAAAGAATTAAGGCAATCATAATTCCCTACGCACACTCATGCTAGGATCCCGCCCCTTATCTGAAACGTTTTGGCTTACATAGACACTGCCAGGCACTGTGTTAAGTGCTCCCAAAGAGCACCGCAGCCTACCACTTTCTCTCTCGTTTCTGTATCTACACTCGATCGGGAGACAAGCTCTTCCGATCGAAAACGACAAAACTAAGGCCCCAAGTAGGAATGCCTTAGTTTTCGGGGTTAACAATGATTAACACTGAGCCTCACACCCACGCGATGCCCTCAGCTCCTCGCTCAGCGCTCTCACCAACAGCCGTAGCCCGCAGCCCCGCTGGACACCGGTTCTCCATCCCCGAAGCGCAGCCCGGAACATGGTAACGGCCATCTTGACCTCGTACGCCAGCCGTCTGTGCACGCAACGGTCTGGTTCCGCCCCCTCCTGCGCGCGCTGCCTGCCCCTGGCAGGCTCGCCTGTGCGAGCGTAAAGGGGCGGAGCTAGGGTCGCCTTGGGCGGTACAAATATCAGAGACCCGCGCGGTCGCTCAGTAGTGACGGGATACGCAGCTCGCGGTCAGTACAGACGCGCCCTCGCTTCTTCCTCTTTCTCGACTCCATCTTCGCGGTAGCGGCAGCTGGGACCGCGGTTCAGGTAAGAATAGGGCCTTGGCTGGATCCGAAGGGCTTGTAGCAGATTGGCTGCGGGATCAGAGGGCGCGGGGGAAACTGAAGAACCAGGCCGGCTCTGTGGCCCTGCTCCAGTCCCTATCCGAATTCTTCGGGAGGCCTGGCCTTCCCCACGTGAGCCGCCGCGACCACCTCCATCCCATCGCTATCGTTTCTGGACCACTTTCCATTCCCAAACCTCCTTTATCCCAGAGCATTTCTTCGCTTCTCTTACAAGCCGTTTTTCTTTACTCAGTCGTCAACATGCAGCTTTTTGTCCGCGCCCAGGAGCTACACACCCTCGAGGTGACCGGCCAGGAAACGGTCGCCCAAATCAAGGTAAGGCTGCTTGGTGCGCCCTGGGTTCCATTTTCTTGTGCTCTTCACCCTCGCGGCCCGAGGGAACACTTACGAGCCTTATCTTTCCCTGTAGGCTCATGTAGCTTCACTGGAGGGCATTGCCCCGGAAGATCAAGTCGTGCTCCTGGCAGGCACCCCCTTGGAGGATGAGGCCACTCTGGGCCAGTGCGGGGTGGAGGCCCTGACTACCCTGGAAGTAGCAGGCCGCATGCTTGGAGGTGAGTGAGAGAAGAATGTTTTTTGAACTACTGGTAAGCGTCTAGTGGGTAGGGGGTGCATAGTCCTGGCAGCTGAGTGTCACACCTATGGTAATAGAGTACTTCTCACTGCCCTCAGTTCAGAGTGATTCTTCCTGTTTACATCCCTCATGTTGAACACAGATGTCCATGGGAGACTGAGCCAGAGTGTAGTTGTGTTTCAGTCACATCACGAGATCCGAGTCTGGTTATCAGCTTCCCCACTAAAATTAGGTCAGACCGGGGCCCCCAAAGTGCTCTAGAAAGTTAGAAGCTGGAAAATCCTGAAATGAAACTTAAGATTTCAAGGTCAGATATCTGCAGCTTTGTTCTCATTACCTGTTGGGCCCAGCTTCTCTTTAAAGGCTTGAATTGAGGAAAGAGGGGTTCTGCTGGGTGGCACCTTCTTGCTCTTACCTGCTGGTTCCTTCCTTTCCCATTACAGGTAAAGTCCATGGTTCCCTGGCCCGTGCTGGGAAAGTGAGAGGTCAGACTCCTAAGGTGAGTGAGAGTATTAGTGGTCGTGGTGTTTGGACTTTGTCTTTTCCTGTCACAGCTAAATCAAGTCCCTGGGTTCTTACCCGGTTTGCCTTCTCCCTCCCTGGAGATGAGCCTGAGGGAAAGGATGCTAGGTGTGGAAGACAGAAACCAGGGCCTGATTAACCCTCCCTTCTTCAGGTGGCCAAACAGGAGAAGAAGAAGAAGAAGACCGGTCGGGCTAAGCGCCGGATGCAGTACAACCGGCGCTTTGTCAACGTTGTGCCCACCTTTGGCAAGAAGAAGGGCCCCAATGCCAATTCTTAAGTCCTTTGTAATTGCGGCTTTCTCTAATAAAAAAGCCACTTAGTTCAGTCATCGCATTGCTTCATCTTTATTTGCAAGGCCTCGGGGAGAGGTTGGTGCTGTGTCCCCTGTAAGAACAGTGAGGCAGAAAAGCCGTTGGTATAGGGGAAGAAATGGTAAACTGCAAGAGGAATTTTCTGTGAAGAAACAGTAGCCACAGATCCTGGGGCTTCAGGTGTAGAATTGGAGTTATTCCCTATCCTAAGTAACTTGATCAGTCCCCTCAAGTCATTCTTTTTCATCTTCTAAACAGAGAAGGTAGCAGGAATCATTGTGGTGAGACGTTTGTTATGGAGGCAGCAGTGGGAGGGATGGGTGGGGGAAGAGGTTTGTATAGAAGGTGAACCTGGTCATTCCCTGAACTTGATACCAGCTGTGGCCTTAGAGTTCAGGGCAGGAATCTGGTCTGCCTCGGTTTTAGAAATAAATATTACGTTGGGTGCATGGTCTCGTTTGTACCTCTATGATTGCCTGGCTAGACTTGGTAACCTAATCACATCTGTGATTGGATATAGTGATGTTTTGGTGTTCCCAAAAGTTGGATTATCTCTGGGGCTGATTCAGGGTTGCCTTCTAGCAACTGAGCCTCCCAGCACTTCTGAACCCCACTTACTCATTCAGCTAAAGTTTCTGGACCTGCCAGTTCTTGGGAAATAGCATCCAACAGGGTAAAACCCTCGGGCTGTGGACTTTGAATGCCTGAGTTTGGACCTTTTTTTTCCTAATCCATTTACTGGGTGGCTGGCCTTTGAACTAACTACTAATTTAATCTCTGCCATCTCCAGAGCTGCTGTGAAGGTTAAAGGATGTAGTGTGTGAATCTTGGCTATTTTCGTCTCGTGGTGTTAAAGACATGCTTTCTGCTTTCTAGCAGTTTAGAAAGGGGGAGGATGTGGACAGATACAATAGCATCCCAGAGAAGGCCTCTTTTTTGTTTTTCTTTTTTCTTTATCTTTTATTGAGACGGAGTCTCCAACCTCCTGGGTTCGCACCATTCTTCTGCCTCAGCCCCCAGAGTAGCTGGGACTACAGGCATGTGCCACCACGCTTAGCTAATTTTTTGTATTTTTAGTAGAGATGGGTTTTCCCTATGTTGGCCGGGATGGTCTCGATCTCTTGACATTGTGATCACCCGCCTTGGCCTCCCAAAGTGCTGGGATTACAGGTGTGAGCCACAGCACCCGGCCTTTTTTCTTTTTGAGTCAAGGTCTCTCATCCAGGCTGGAGTGCAGTCGCATAGTCATGGCTCACTGCAGCCTCCAAGTCCTGGGCCCAGGTGATCCTACTCAGCCTCCCAAGTAGCTGAGGACTGCAGGCATGCACCACCACTCCTGGCTAAGTTTTTGTACTTCTTGCAGAGACGGGGTTTTGTTGCTGTGTTGCCCAGGCTGGTCTTGAACTGGGCTCAAGTGATCCGCCCACCTTGGCCTCCCAAAGTACTGAGAGTACAGGTGTCAGCCACTGTGCCCAACTGAGAGGTCATGTTTAAATGACATGTGTGAGACCTGAGATGAATAAATCAAGTGATCAGGTAGGGGAATATTTTAAGCCAAGAGGACTGTATGAAGATGGGGAAGAGGTGATGTCTAGGGGTGGGAGCAGATCCTGCAAGGCCTTGTCAGCCATGGAGAGAAGTTTGGGTTTGAGTCCAAGTGCAATGGAGGGTCGCAGAAGGGTTTTGAGTAAGAGAAGGATCTGATCTGACTTGTGATCTAATTTATCTGGCAGGTTTTTCTGGAGGGCTGGCAAGAAAGGAAAAACACAATGTGTTTGTCATCCACGTGAGGGGTCAGGAAGCTTAGACCACCAGTAGTAGTAGTAGGGATGCAAAGAACACTCACAGTTTGGTTCATCACACCTCCACTCCACCATAAGACTGAGCTCTGTTAGAACAGGGACCCCCAACTCCCTTTGATGTGCATTGTGTTCTTGGCACCTAGAATGGGGCCTGCACTTAATGAGATGGATGAATAGTGGTATTTAATAAGATACTTAATGAAGAGTCAGTTTTGGAGGAAAAATAGGAGCTCAAATATTTCTTTTTTTTTTTTTTTTTTTTTTTGAGACGGATTCTCGCTCTGTCACCCAGGCTGGAGTGCAGTGGCCGGATCTCAGCTCACTGCAAGCTCCTCCTCTCGGGTTCACGCCATTCTCCTGCCTCAGCCTCCCAAGTAGCTGGGACTACAGGCACCCGCCACTTCGCCCGGCTAGTTTTTTGTATTTTTTAGTAGAGACGGGGTTTCACCGTATTAGCCAGGATGGTCTCGATCTCCTGACCTCATGATCCGCCCATCTCGGCCTCCCAAAGTGCTGGGATTACAGGCTTGAGCCACCGCGCCCGGCCTCAAATATTTCTTAAATACTGCTTTTTATTTGTTTTTTTGAGGTGGAGTTCCTCTCTGTGGCCCAGGCTCCCAGGCTGGAGGGCGGTGGCGCGATCTCAGCTCACTGCAACCTCCACCTCCTGGGTTCAAATGATTCTCCTGCCTCAGCCTCCGGAGTAGCTGGGACTACAGGCACCCGTCCCCCACGCCCGGCTAATTTTGTATTAGTAGAGATGGGGTTTCTCCATGTTGGTCAGGCCGTGGTCAAACTTCTGACCTCAGGTCATCTGCCCGCCTTGGCCTCCCAAAGTGCTGGGATTATCGGCGTGAGAGCCACCGCATCCGATCCCAACTGCCCTTTTATTCGTCTGTGTCCTCTAGTGCATTTTATTTGTCTGTGTACAGCGCAGGGATGCATCGCCTTTCTGAGGCTTGGCACAATTAGTGGCCCAGGGTAGGTGTTTAGTAAAGTGGATTTCTGCCACAGCGCATTATAGAGCTAAAGAGAGAGGGTTTTCTCTTTAGATGATCGGGCCACGTTTTGGTGTGACCGCTAGGGGGAGAGGTGGCACCGGCGGAGCGCTCGCCAGACCCATTTTTCCGCTCCTTGCGTCATCGCACAGGGCGGGGCTCGTACCTGACGCCCGGCGTCTGGGCCTGCTCTCACCCTACTAGGGAAAGGGGTGGGGCTCGGCTTTCCGGCGTGGGCGGAAATTGCTCAGAATCCTCGGGAGCTTTGCGAAACGACAGACCGTCGTCGACCCCGCGGTGAGCCGGAAGTAATTGAATAAGCCCCGGAAGTTTGGAACTATCGCCGGCGTGCGTTCGCAGGTAGATCGCGGTGCCAGTTGCTATGGAGCCGGTCGGGCCTTGTGGTTTCTGCCCGGCGGGGGAGGCCCAGCCCGCGCGTTACACCTGCCCTCGCTGTAATGCGCCCTATTGCTCGCTGCGCTGCTACCGGACGCATGGCACCTGCGC